ATATCATTTGCTATTAATTGTATATAATTTTTAAGAGAAGACAATCTGTTTATATTTTAGGAATATGGTATTGATTGTTCATGGTTTTCCAAATAGTACATCTGCACTTAGGGTATGTTTACTTCATTTCATAAATATAAGAAACCTTTTTGTTTTCAATTTTCATATTTAAGAATAGATTTACTTTTTTTTTTAGTTTGAGTGGGCTTGGCAACATCCTCAAGTCAGTAGACGTTTAAAACATGTACCTAAGAAAAAGTCACGACAGAAAACATTTGAATACTGTTTGTTAGTTTTGTCAGAAATGTTAAAAGTTGGTCCATGGTGTCGTTTACCTTTAACAATACGCTGGTTAGATTATGAGTTTTTTGAAGAATATTCAAGACATGTTTCAGCTCCAATGCATATGCCCATATGCTGTGGAAAAGTAATTTCCCAAAAGATTGGGAAGACAAATAATGAAGGACAAATATTAGATGAATTAACTATGTTTTGTTCTGTATGTGACTCATTATTAAATGAAAAAGAATCAATTTGCTGTATAAAACCTAGTTGTTTGTTAGTAGCTCATTTAATTTGTTTAGCAAAATTATTTTGTCAAGATAATATGATTTTACCAATTGAAGGCACTTGCCCTGCTTGTAATACCAGTGTCTTATGGGGAGATTTAATTAGAAAAAAGATAGGTTGTTATGAAAATTTAAAAGAAACATCTTCTAGTGACAATGATAGTAATTTTTAATAACTTTTTATAACTTAATATAACTGATTTTAATAATTGAAAGACTGTAAATTACTGTAATTTTGTATTTTGTTACTTTTCTACTGTTTTTAAATATTTTACATACAAAAAGCAATGACAAATTAAATAAACGATTAATATAAAATTGTCGTTTTATTATATATTTCTTCATAATTGCTTAACTCAATATATATAAAAAAATAAGGCTACTACTAAATTACATAAAATCCATTGTTTATTATTAGTCACATGAGAAAATGTAAATGCATATAAACATTAAGTGTATTATACATTTCATTCAATTTTTTTTTTTCAGGAGAGTAACGAATTCTATATGTTTATCAGTCTTTATTCGTAACTAATCGACACATCAAAATATATTTATATATATGTATATGTATATATGTATGTGTACGTATGTTTGTGTGTACTTTGTATATAGACATAACATTATCTGATAAGGAGGAATACAAGAAAATTCTTCTGTTCCATCGATACTTAATTATGTAGTCGCAATTAAATCGAAAGCTAAATCAAGACCAGCTTGATCTTTTTATGCGAAAGTTATTACGTTCAAACTGTTACGTCCAAAATTGAAACGTCGCGAAATTATGATTCCTCAAAATTTCAATTAACGACGTATTTTCTTGTGCGTACTGTTGATCGCATTAGCAAGAGTCTAGGTTTCTAATTTCAAGTTTTTCATTTTAATTTGCTGTCAAGTGCATCTAGAGGTTTTGTTTTAACTTACAACACAAGATTACGGAATATTCCAAACAAGGAAGTTCAAGATGTTCCCGGAACATTTTTCCATTTACGTTACTCGAAATTCAGAATTGTATTTCCGTATACTAGAATACGATCGAACGAGTACTCGAAAGTGTACCTTTTTGTTTTATTCGTGGAAGGAACGTAATTGTGTCAATTTGTTTACAGTTCATGGACACATAATAGGGGAAAAAACTAGAAAATATAAAGAAAATAGCTAGCGGAAGTAGAATAAATATACAAGGACAAAAGGAGGAAAGAGAGATCGAGCTCATTTTAGTTTTTAAAATATCTATGAAAACTTAAAAATGAATGTATCTTCGTATTTATAAATCAGCGTTGAGTTTTGTTAAAACAAATAAATCATATTGTTTAAAATAAAATATCACAAGCATCGTGAACACATTTAAAATGTATAAGTACACAAATTAAATTCACAATGATTAGTGGATAACAGATAAAACGCAATTCACATCGACTGATAAAGTCAACGGATCGAAGCGAAGTCATTGTGATAAAAGTTTATTTTACATTAAGTGTATTTCAAGTACTTAACGTATTTGTTACATTATATGCTAATACGAACGAGAAGGATCTGGAATAATCAAGACTCAACGCTGTCTAAAAAAGTTCGTATCATATATTCAAACGTACAAGTCTCCGAAGATAAAAACAAACGATACGCCGATCCTCTTAGCCTTCCAGTTTGTCCACTTTTTGTTTGCACATAGTCTTATATGCAAATCATCACGTTGCTATTCTATCATCAATATTTTTACTTCTTGTACTTTAATTTGGTTAGGTAGCACAACTCTCTTAGAAAGACTCGGTTCAGTGGTTTGTTTCGTTTCCTGGTTTTCGGTGTTCGAAAACATCAAGCATTCGAGGATGAAATCCAAAACCGTATTCGCGTAGATGTCACGATAAAAAGCATAATGCTTAACGTGTGGTGAATTCGTAAAGAGCACCAACTGCACCCATACGCCACGTTTTGCTCGTTGACAGGCGAACTTTTCAACATCCTTGAAATAGGAACAACAATAAGACATGAGGTATACGTAACTGAAAAATATGCAAATGCATCTAGTTCGCTATAGGTATTTATAGTACTGTGACGATTTCTTGAGAACACGTACCGATGACGGAATTAAGGTATCAGCGTTTGAGTAAAGAAACAATTGGGGCCAAGAATAGGATTCCTCTGCAAGTGAGTACGGATTTGTTTGCACTGGATATTCACGTCCAAGCGCATGAGCGATCACCTAAACGATCTATCATTTGTAATTTTTCCTCAGTTTTTATAATTACTTTCTTATAATCAACTGATGATTTAAAGAAAATATTTACAGTATTAATCATTTTAGTAAAGAAACAAGTGAAAGTTGGCTGTTCTTGCTTTATTTACCCATCACAGTTAACGAGCTTTCAATACAGAAAGTTTTCATTAATAACTTCGACGTTAGAAATTCGTTAATTAATTTTGGGTAAATAAAGACAAAATTACAAAATTGAAATTTACGTGCAAGGTTCAATAGTTTCTAATAAAAATTTTAAATTCAAATTGAGAATGTTAAGATAACACACGCTATAAAAAAATTCCAATACGTCTGTTAATACCTCCAATAACCAAAGTATGGAGAGAAAGATTGTAATGAGAAAGGACATCGGTATGTTCATAAGCGGATGTCCTCCAATGATCGTGCTGATGGCTTTGAAAAGTGTGGTCAATCTTCTTTCACCTGGTGCACTGTCGAATATCACTCCTTTGACCTGTAAGTTCGATTCTACAGATAATGTGCAAAAAATTAAGTATTCTTAAGAGTTGAAAGATAACAAACATCTTTTACCTTGAGTGGCGTGTAATCTTTCTGCATAGCAAGGCTCACGTGCTGATAAAGAAACGCGCCGCCGTTGCTGAAGACATGGAAAAATATCGGGTGCTCATCTAGATTCTTGTCTTTAATTACCTTGATCAATCGTTTGCCGATGTGGGGCAGTTTGTCTCTTTGCCAGAACAGACATTTTACCGGTGCCGCGTATCGTAGCGTGATGCAGCTTGAAAAATGAACATTGTTCATTAATACATGCCTGCTAAATGATTAGGTAAACTTGAGTAACAGGTAGAAATAATAATACAAAACAAATTGCGCTGAATATATTTCCTATGACTGTTTGTAAAATCTCCCTTTTTATAGTACTGTCTTTAAAATAAAAATCTTTAAAATGTTGGTAACTTATTTTTGTATTTATATAAATATTTTTACTATCGAATATTTCTCGAGAGAAAAATCAGTATACGTTGCATAACGTTGCGCCAATCGATAGCAATAAACTACAACAAAGTAGTAATAAACCAAGCAATTAACTTCGGGAATACGATGTTTGAATTATTTCCGATTAAACAAACAGCATTGTCAGTGTGAGTTGCCGGCGTCATTCACGATGTATTTTCCGTTCCCGCCGACTTTACGAAATTCAACCGTAACCTTTCCCTTTAATCTTGTCAGAGAAAAAAAAACTACCTCGTCCTCCTATTTCTGTCCTTCTTCGTCAATCGCTATCGACACGCACTCCATAGTATTTTTCACCGCAAAATATTCGTTCGGAAACCGCAATACATACAATCTCGACCATAATTTTCCGGTAGTTCCAAATGAAAACAAAAAGAAAAATGAAAAAAACACTCAAGATTTTAAATGGAAAAATAATGTACTTAATACAGGGAATGATTTAGCGTATATCAATACCATTTTTCCTCGTAGATTGCGCTGTACTTGGCCAGATACTTGTCCTGACAGCCGGCCCATCCTAGCAATATGATTACCGGTTGCTTGTGCTTCTTGAACACCTTCGCAAACTCGTTTTCATAATACCCTTCGTCGTCGGTGTCTAACGTTGGAGACGATGGAACCGGCGGATACACAATGTTGCAGTTGAGGTCTTCTTCATCGTGCATCTTTTCTGCTTCTCGTCCTCTTCCTCGCGAGGAGGAGACGGACAAGTGTGCGGTGGAAGGGTGGTAAAGGGTAAGGGGAAGAGGAGGAGGAGGCTGGCAGCGCGAATCGATCCTCGTTCCGAGTCGAGCTTGCGTTGTCCTCCTCGTCGTCAAAAGTGCGGAGCTGACACGAAGGATCGATACCAAAGGTGCGCACCGAAGTTAGGTTGTGTCACAGATGAGAGCGTGATGTTTTAAAAGATCATGTATTCTTTGTGAAAAGAAAGAGAGAGAGAGAGAGAGTGTGTTTTCTTTTCTTCGTAAACGTCACCACGTGCCGACGAGATTTTAGGTTAAACGAATTTCTGTCGATCGATAATGGATATCGATTTTGAGTTATTCGCTCTGCGCATGACAGATGTTCGCAGACTGTAGATTAACTGTTAGACCGGCGCCGACGTTCACGGTACTGCAATTCAGCGAATTACGCGCGTTGCTTTTATGTATTTTTAGGGACAGATAATTTTGATCGGGTTATTGTCGTTGGAATGATTAGACCGGAAGTTCGGAAGTTATAATTAGGTGTGGAATATAACTGTACCGATGATTGTGACTGTAATCCTGTTACAGTATTGTACAACGAGATTAGCGGGATTTTTGAAGGGGAATGGTTTTGAGAGTAAGGAACCTTATTACATTTAAGAATGATTTTCTGAGTAGGTTCTTGAAGAAAAGCAATTTTAACCAATATCGCTAAATTTATCTTAATGTCAGTTAGAATACCGGATAGAAAAATGTATATGATGATGTTTAAAATAGCGATGGTGAGCCTGATTTGTAGTGTTTAAGAATAATTAGTGTTTCTTGTTAAATAACAATTTAGATGGTTGTTTATAATTATTGGAAGTCTTAAATAAAATTATTGTATGCTTAAACTTAATCAAACAGCTTAATATATTAATTTTGCATTGAATTAACGATTGCATTCAGTAGATCAGTTAGAAATTGTTTTATTAAAAATTAGAAAAATCGATGTTGCTTTCCTATAAATTACAGAAGGAAAAATGAAGAAATGCAATTATTTATCAAAAAATAAATTATTCATTGTACGATAAGTGTACTAAATGTATTTTACAGAAGGTTACAATATACCAGTATTGTTTTACAGCATTTTACAGTATATTTATTTCTCCCATACACGCCACGTCCATTTCCTTTTACAACAACTCATTGTATAAATAATAATCATTGTATAAATAAAAATGGAAAAAAACTGTTTTTTGACAGGAAATACTAATTATTCTATTATTAAAGTACTTCAAAATAAACCAGAAACTGTATTTTACTATTTTCATTATTAGTAATGTTAAATCAATTAAAAATTCATCATAAGTATCAATTGAATGTAATAGGAATGACGAGAATACTAATAACGAAGAGAGACAAGACAATTAATAGCGGTAGACAAGGATAGCACTAGAAAAATGAGTTAGACAAGGAAAGATATAGGGATAGACAAGGACAGAGAATTTTCAGTTCTGGAGCAACGCCATCTCGTGTTTGGCCGTGCGAACTAACGACTCGTTACTAGAATAACAGAATATAAACAGAGGTATTAGACAAGGAAAGCACTAGTGTGCGACAAGGACAGAGAGAGAACGTTTCCTATTGGCTAGCGGGCCGGTAGACTCCATCTTGCTGGGCCTCAATCAAGTCGGCCTGCGAAAAATCATTAATAACTCAATAATTACGATTATTTTGTGAACTTTTAGAATTGAAGAATGAAGTCTGGATCTTCAGCAACTTTCTCATATAGTTTTTAGTGCTCTGAACCCTTCCAATAATTAGTTATTAATAATTTTAGTACGGGATGTCAGGAACGATACCGCGTACTGTCAACTAGCTTTACGGTTTTTCAATAATTCCACAACTTTCTACTAAATTCTCGTGCAACTAACTATACGCATCTGAAAGGCAACTCTTTTGACTACATTCTCGTCTAATTTTTATTAACATATTCGGTTTAGTTTAAGAGTTATTTAACATTCCTTAGGAGAGTATTACATTCGTCGCATTCAATCGTAACACAGTTTCGTTATTTCAAAAGACATGAGTGATTAATTATGCACTTTAAGGCATGCAGAATGTAGAATGGACTTTCATCTATATTCTTCAATAATTTTAGTAGCGGTAAGTGATGTGATTTATTAGATATTAGCAATTGTTTATAACATTTGATTATACTGGCCTACGACGAGTAGTGGACTCTCTCATGTAATGTTTAATAACTCTTAAACTAAACCGATTACGTTAATAAAAATTACAAAAGAATGTAGCTATAGGAGTTGTCTTTCAGACGCATATAGTTATTTGCACGAGAATTTAGTAGAAAGTTGTGAAATTATTGAAAAACCGTAAAGCTACTTGACGGTACGCGGTATCGTTCTCGACATCCCGTACTAAAATTATTAATAACTAATTAGTGGAAGGGTTCGGAGCACTAAAAACTATATGAGAAAGTTGCTGAAGATCCAGACTTCATTCTTCAATTCTAAAAGTTCACAAAATAATCGTAATTATTGAGTTATTAATGATTTTTCGCAGGCCGACTTGATTGAGGCCCAGCAAGATGGAGTCTACCGGCCCGCTAGCCAATAGGAAACGTTCTCTCTCTGTCCTTGTCGCACACTAGTGCTTTCCTTGTCTAATACCTCTGTTTATATTCTGTTATTCTAGTAACGAGTCGTTAGTTCGCACGGCCAAACACGAGATGGCGTTGCTCCAGAACTGAAAATTCTCTGTCCTTGTCTATCCCTATACCTTTCCTTGTCTAACTCATTTCTCTAGTGCTATGCTTGTCTACCCCTTTTTGTTTCCTTGTCTAACTCGTTTCTCTGGTACTATCCTAATCTACCAATGTTCCTTTCCTTGTTTAACTCATTTCTCTAGTATTAACCTTGTATACCAGTATTCGTAGTAAGTATGACTAAATATATTGGATTGCGTGGGTAGAACTGTTCACGATTTTTTGACAGCAGTAGAACACGCGTATATGATGAATCATCTACTGATAAACAATTCGTTACTTTTTTAATTGTAATTTCATAGTTACGTTTAATTCTAAGTAATTCCAATCACTACTCATGTTGTAATCTCTTTCTATGCTAAATCGGTAACGTTGGGAGCGCCATGAAAATGGTAAGGGTCTTCTCGGCCCTCGTGCCGCGGACACAAAGTCCAATAAGGTGTTAGATTTATTCTGTACGTCGTCTGTGATTGTAGTACATTTTTTGTTAGTCTATTTTTTTTTTTTAGATTTCAAGGTCACCTTCACTTGTTTATAGAAAAACCTATAATTTTCTTACGCACATCTTTTAGCGGATGTTGAGACAAATTCAGCAAGCATTACAAAATATCTTTTTCTTCATCTGAACTAAAGAAAGGGTATGAATGATCAGCTGTTTTATGTCGATTTCTATAAGAAATTTATTACTACGTCATGTTAGTAAATGAACTACTTGACTGTATTTTCATTTTCATCTATTTAGGTTTATGACTTGTAACTGTAACTTGAGAATATAATTATTCTAAAAATTAGAAAAAATGATTTACTATCCATTTCGTACTGAACTATAAATACGCGACATGCTAGTCATTTTACCTTCAAACGTAAATTCTTTTTTCCAAATGCAATTCATGAAATCTGCATTACCAACGTCAAACCGTAGACACAGTACAAATTTACCATCTATATTTTCTTCAATACATATTCTCTGGTTCTTCACAGCAATATGTCGTTTCAACTTTACAAACGTTTATCACAGTTCATTCTGTTGTATAACTGCCCAAAAAAAATGAAATTATTGAAAAATCGTAAAGTTACTTGACGGTACGCGGTATCGTTCCCGACATCCCGTACTAAAATTATTAATACCTAATTATTGGAAGGGTTCGGAGCACTAAAAGCTATATGAGAAAGTTGCTGAAGGTCCACACTTCATTCTTCAATTCTAAAAGTTCACAAAATAATCGTAATTATTGAGTTATTAATGATTATTCACAGGCCGACTTGATTGAGGCCCAGCAAGATGGAGTCTACCGGCCCGCCAGCCAATAGGAAACGTTCTCTCTCTGTCCTTGTCGCACACTAGTGCTTTCCTTGTCTAATACCTCTGTTTATATTCTGTTATCCGAGTAACGAGTGGTTAGTTCGCGGATCCAAACACGAGATGGCGTTGATTCAGAAATGAAAATTCTCTGTCCTTGTCTATCCATGTACCTTTCCTTGTCTAACTCGTTTCTCTAGTGCTATCCGCATTCCTTTCCTTGTCTAACTCATTTCTGTATTGCTAAATATGTAAGTACTTACTTATACGTACCGTGCCCAACACGACTATGTATATACGCTTATTCTATACGTTATTAAACAATATACGGTGTTAATCAGTTAATAAAGAGATTATAAGTCGCTAAATTAATTCTAGAGTATATAGGTGAGGGGGAATTTTTCCAAGCCTTACAGAAACTAAAGATTGAATCCTTCTCGAAAGGTTTATTCAAAAATAATTTCGTTCAATAACTTTATTAAGAAATAATTCTTTAAAAAAACCTAATTTTCAATTCGAATTACAATATTACCCTCTAATTTTCTTACGCACATCTTTTAGCGGATGTTGAGACAAATTCAGCAAGCATTACAAAATATCTTTTTCTTCATCTGAACTAAAGAAAGGGTATGAATGATCAGCTGTTTTATGTCGATTTCTATAAGAAATTTATTACTACGTCATGTTAGTAAATGAACTACTTGACTGTATTTTCATTTTCATCTATTTAGGTTTATGACTTGTAACTGTAACTTGAGAATATAATTATTCTAAAAATTAGAAAAAATGATTTACTATCCATTTCGTACTGAACTATAAATACGCGACATGCTAGTCATTTTACCTTCAAACGTAAATTCTTTTTTCCAAATGCAATTCATGAAATCTGCATTACCAACGTCAAACCGTAGACACAGTACAAATTTACCATCTATATTTTCTTCAATACATATTCTCTGGTTCTTCACAGCAATATGTCGTTTCAACTTTACAAACGTTTATCACAGTTCATTCTGTTGTATAACTGCCCAAAAAAATCGTTTCAAATATTTCTTTACCCTCTTCCAGTTTTGTCGTAGACCCATGGAAAGTAGAATTCACGGGGTGATTGGAAAGTGGCGCCATCTATTGACAGTAATGTAGTCGGAATATTGTCAACGGGCAGGCGCTGGACCGCTTTCGGAGGCTGCGTGCGGGATGAAGAGCGAAAGACAGAGAAGGACCGAGATTCAAACTCGAAATCTAACGAGGAACTCTCAGAGCCACGCGAGTGGCCGCGCGATACGGCACGGGTGTTTGAAAACTGCCGATAACAGTGTGCACCGCGCCATGTGTACCGAGAAAAGTGCGAATTTGCTGTGGCTCCTTTCTGCCATATCGCTTCTTTGTGGATTTGTCCTGCCGTACGGTGAGTAAACAGATCAAATTCGTCGAATTATCGTCGTCGATGGGGTTTCTCCATTAAAAATAAACATCATCTGCCGGTAATACGGATAATGATTGTTCAGTATCGAATGTTTTGTTTCGTACGGTGGATACGTATTAAGGATTGTTTTCATGGAAATAAATTGACAGACGTGGATTTTCTTTTTTTTTTTTTTTGTTTAAATAACATCAATAAACGTGAGAATGACATTTCTCATTATAAACATCATCGTAGGTATCGTGTAAAATACGTCGAATGTATCGGCGTAAGGGAATAGTGGTCTCGTGTGAAGAATAGGTTAACGTGATTTAACTGTCACTTGAGAATTCCTTAACGCGCCACCGTAGGTGTACGAAGGTGACGACGACACTTGAGCCTGTTGCTCTGTTAGTTTTTTCTCGAAATATTATTTCACAGCTGTTGCTGTATCTTTTTTTTTTTTTTTTACAACACGGTGTTACTTTCTTTTCTTAACATACATATACGTGAATTTTTATTATGGGAATCAGCCTTTAAGGGATTTCAAGACCGACGTTTTTCTTACGAGAAATAGAACGAAGTATTAACCTAAAATTGCGTAAAAATGAAACATCGAAATTCTGAAACGTAAAAAACCACAGTTTCTTTCGTGTAAGGTATTGAAACGAGAATTTACGTCGATTTATGTCACAATTTCCAAATATCGTGAATTCATCAAGTTCCACATATTTTTGTAGCTTTTATCATTTACCATTTTCGATGTTTCTGTTAAAATCACGATCGACGGAATACGAAACGTTGAAAATCGGGGACCATCGCGAATGACAACAAACATCGAACAAATTTCGTTAACGTCAAATAAATGTGCTTTCTCTGTTCCTCTATTTTCCACATTGAATTTATATTCCTGTGAAAATAAGCGGAACGACATAAAAAAAGAAAGTAAGAAAAAAAAGAAGAAATATTAATTGAAACCGCGGAATAACAGAGAAACACTTTCAATTAAAATAACAAATACCACGTGATCGTTAATTTTTTAACGTAACACGCACGTTCACTTGTAATTCTATTGCACGAATAACAAAAACGATGGAATCGAATGAAAATCGCGAAATATGCAACGTGTTCGTCAATTAGAGCGACGGTACAAAGGGTGACGATTAATTATGAAACAATTATGGCGTTTCGTGGTTCGTTCATCTGTTCTTCGAGTATGCGGCGTTTATGGTGTCGAACAACGTTCTCTTTTCAAGGGCCACGCGTTTCTGACTGACGTGTCGCTCGAATACCCGTCGTTCGTTGAAAAGCAACCGGAATAACGGAAAGTCGCATCGACGGAACGAATTTTGCGCGACGGTTTCCCATCTACAGTGGTGATCAAATCAGAGCCACTACGGTTTTACATTGTAACGATGAATTTGTATTAGATTCTTATTAGATTTTTCTTTTTACGAAGCATCGGTATGTTTGCAAATTGCAAATATTCACTTGACAATATTTCAAGGCAATATTATCTGTTATATGGACGTTATTTTGTATCAGTCTTGCTAGTCGCCACTTGAGAACCGCGTGTTACAGTTTTCTTGCTTTGTAAATCTCGATCGTTTGAATTTTTCTTGCCGTGCTTTTAATACTTACAATGCATAGAAAATTACTTAAAATGCATCGAAAAAAAGAATCAAGGCTGTAATTGCAGCAAAAGCTAGCGACAACCAAATGTACTCGCTTCATTCTTACTTCTTAACTATATTTTTTATAACTACATAACCTACAAATTTTAACCGTTTCGTGTATCTTTAGCGGACAATCGTTAATTAACAAATTATCCAGTGTGAAAACCTCGATATTCTGATTTTATTTCTGTAGAAAAAAACGGAAAGCATATTTTTCGTATTGTGGCTCTAATAATTTCATCATCCACTGTATATATTACTCTTGTACATCGGCGGAAACGGACAATTTAAGATCAACTCGCGTTGAATCGATTATTGAGAAATCTGATAACATACGAGAGGAGATGCTTTTCTAATTATCAATATCAAGCATTTTCCAATATTTTTTTCTTCGTAAAAATAATAAATACAATTTTCGTCACGTTTTACGCGTATATGTATTTCTCTGTTTCGATTCCGTTTTAATTGTTCAAATTTGCATTAACGTTTAGGACGGTGATTTTCATATTTTCTTAGAAACGTTTCAAGATCGATCAGAAGAAGTTTTTATCGAATCTTTAGTCGTCTTTATTATTCTTCTCGATTGCTTTTCCCGATATTCTGTATTACCCATCGAGTAAATGTAAATTAATTCGAGCTTCGTCAACTTTATTTCAGCAGTAGGATAAAATGTGGAGGAAAAGGGTCAAGGTTGACGGAGCTTCCTTTCTTCTTTATCCGTTTATATATTCGAACCAATAATTATTCAAACGAAGCAATATTAGCATTGCCGCTTTGAATTATGTTGAACGGTTTTCTTCGCAGATTTGCTAGTCGTGAAACATTAAGTCTTTCTACTTCTGCAAGCAGAAGCGTTTGTGTCATAATTTTATTACTAATTATAGGGTAAGGATCTTTGGTTGAAAATGAATTCTGAGAAAAAGTCACCTTTCCCTTTTTTATCCTTAATAATTCAATTTAAAAGATTTATTTATTTTTATATTATTATCATGCTTGTTGAAAATAGTAATAATTATAGGATAAGGATCTTTGGTTGAAAATGAATTCTGAGAAAAAGACACCTTTCCCCTTTTTGTCCTTAGTAATTCAATTTAAAAGATTTATTTATTTTCATAGTATTACCATTAGACTGCGGATTTTTTTGCAAATTCATATTTTTATGAGTATAATTTAAAAAATAGAAGCTAGATAGGCAATTGTTTTATTCGCTAAATATAACGAGTACTATATTTTTGCTTATTACGTGCATTTTGTGTATTTTTGTGTCTTCAAATTTTCCATAAATGCATATAAATCCGCAGTCTAATTATCATGCTTGTTGAAAATACTTTTTCAAAATATTGTCTTTATAATGAAAATACATAAATAGCAATGGTAGAACGGTTTTTGAATACACGTTCGATGCTTAAAAAGAATACATATTCTGCGAGGTTGAAATATTTTTATTACTCTGAGCATTTATTTTCCGTTTCTTTGTCTGTCAACGACGCTCGTGGCGCTGTGAAAAATCGAATTTGGGGCAAAAGAAATTCTGATATTCGCTGGAATACATACTGGCTTGCATCGAGAACTTTGTAACGCCTATTATTCCTATAGAACTCGGTAAATCACGAAAAACGTGCTTTCGTGCTAACGTCAAGTGTGAAATTGTACGTTTGCAAACAGCGAGGAGATTTTTTATTTATCGAGCTCGAACAGCAGTGAAATATCGAGCATATTAACGAGTCCAATTTTTCGTGGAATGCAATTATATTTCACTCGGTAAAGATGCAACATTTAACGGGGTAAAAATGGAAATTTAGATTTTCTCGTACTTTTTAATAATGTTTTCTACGCTCCACTGAGATATCCAGTGCTTAAATATTAAAGCATAACAGGATTGGAGTATATATGTTTGCGCTATAAAGAGGGGAATTTAGATTTGAAGTAAGGATAACTTCAAAGTAGCCGGACTTTCAAGAATTTTACTTGGAATAAGATGTATATTTATATTTGAAATATGAACTATGAAAAATACGTTTTGTAAAGAGCGCGTAAATTTGTAAGAGCGCAAAGTGCGTCAAAGCGCGCGAAATTTGAAATTTTCATCATTTCTAATTACTTATTTTTCGATTTCTTTATGTTCCTAAATTTCTAATTCGCGATTTTCGGATTGAAAGCGCGTCAAATTTGTAAGAGCGCAAAGTGCGTCAAAGCGCGCGAAATTTGAAATTTTCATCATTTCCTACTATTTAATTTTCTTCTATATCTCCAAATCCCCGAGGATCCTTAATCCGAATCCTTGTCACGTTCCTCTAAAAATCCTTTAAAAAGGCTAACATTCACGTTGAAATCTGTAATTCCCGCCTGTCTCGGAGAATAACTCGCGAGTTCTATGGCGCGAGTAGGAACACGATCGGATTGGAGTGCTCAATCGCAGCCATAACCTTCCTTCCGTTGAAACGTCGCAAATTGTACGGCAATCATCTTGTCAAGCTGTTCAACTGTTCGCACGCGCGACCGTCTTAATATGAATTCCTTCGAGATTCGGATGACCTTCTCGAGACTCCGTCTCCCTTCTACACCTGGTAGCTCCTGTCAGACGCAACAACGACTCCCTTTGGTATATTACGTACGTAATACGGTGGCAGCTCTTGGCCCCCGTACGAATGAAATTCCATGCAAAGTATACTCCGGAGAATATTTTATCGGCCTCTGGACGCCGCGAAATACGGAGAACAGCTATTTTATGCAATTTTGGCGTGCATCACTGCTCGCACCAGCTTCACGGAAAATATCGCCGTGGGGTTGTTACGGCGCTCTGTGTTTGAACAAGAATTTTATTCGCTACCTAATCGAACCGGCAACGGCTCCGATCTCCGCCTGGAAAATCTCACCGTGTTTCACT